CAAGATTATCTTCTGTGTCTGTGTTAATTGGTTTCCCTTTTCTTTGTTGAAGAGGGTCTGTGCAATCCTTCTGCCTAGTCCGCCATCTTGCCATTTTTTAACTTTTTGATAAGTATATTCTGTATTCTTAATTTGTTTTCTTTTATGCAGTTAAAAACATTGTTCTGAGAAAGGGTCCCTAGCACATAAAGTGTTAAGAACCCCTGTTCTAGAGGGTGGGTACAAAGGAAAACTGGAATGAGGCCAGTAGCTTGAAGCAGCTGCTGAAATTAACTGTTTTCCCTCTACTAAGTCACAGCTTCCTGTGGTTACCTTTGACATCATTGCTGGCCAGGAGAATGGGGAAACTTGACTGGGTGGAGCTCCTTTTGGGACTTTTGGCTGAGGCAGCCAGAGTGGCCTAGGTTTGGAACTGGAGCCCAGGCAGTAGGCCCAAAGCAGCAGCCAGGGGCTAAAGTGAGGCCTGACTGGCTGCTCAGTCCTTGCTAGCCACTGGCTGCTGCCTGGTGGTCAGGTAAGTACAGAAACTGCCTGGAGGGCCTGGGTTTCCCTGAAACACCTTTAGCACTGCAGGCTCAGAACATAGTAGCATCAAATTCTGTGATAACATGTTGTAGTGGGATTATTATCCAGCTTGGAAATCAGGATCCCAACTGTATGTGACCTTAGACAAGTCACTTAGCCTCTGTGAGCCTCAGTTTCCCCACCTATAACATGAAGCTCTCTTACTGCTGGCACTGTAGGCAGACATGGAGGAAAGCAGGTATCTACCTAGGCTTGATTTTCCCACCATCCTCTTCTTTCTTGCTTTTCAGGAAAAAGGCCTGTAAATACTTTGAACAAGGCAAGGGGACCTGCCCATTTGGAAGCAAATGCCTTTACCGCCATGCTTACCCTGATGGGCGCCTTGCAGAGCCTGAGAAACCCCGGAAACAGCTCAGTTCTGAAGGCACCGTGAGGGTAAGAACCTTGCTCTGCTCAGGGACACTTTAGTTGTCAGCATTTCCAGATACCGTTCCTGGCCTCTTCCCTGACTAAATGGCTTTGGCAGCAGGAATTAGGGTAAGCAAAAGAAAAAGCAACACAGCCTTTATATTGCCATTGGCAGTAACCAAGCATGTTTTCTGGGTGTTTTTGCAGTTCTTTAATTCTGTGCGGCTCTGGGATTTCATTGAGAACCGAGAAAGCCGGCATGCCCCCAACACTGAAGACGTCGACATGACTGAGCTTGGGGACCTCTTCATGCATCTTTCTGGAGTAGAGTCTTCAGAGCCCTAAAGAATAGCTGGTCGCCTCTGCATCTCAGGCTCCACCAGCCAAGCCTCCCAAGCTAGGGTGGTTCAGCTCCCTGTCTGCAGTACAATTGCTATCACTTGGGTTTGAGTGGGGTTGTACTTAAATAGCCTTGGTCTCATCCACTCTCCATGATTAAGCCACAGAAACAGTGAAGGGTATAAAATAACCTAACTAGTATATGGAGTGGCCATTCTTATAGTCGATAGCTTAGGTGTACTTCAAGCTCCTTAGGGGAAACAGCTAACCATTCAGACTGAGTTCTGACTGGAAGGCTTTTACAAGGAACCTGGTTCCTATGCTTCTTGATCTTAATCTTAATCTTCTCAGAAGCAGTAAATTTGCAGTTGGCCCTAATGCAGCAGATTCCTTTCTTACCAAAGGATTCTTCTTCATCCCTGTAACAGGACTCCTCTGTAGTGAATTTTTCTAGTGTATCTAAATGGCGTGTGGTCAGAAATTTGACTTCTATAGCACTTTTCGAGAAACAAATTTTAATGTAAAGTGGGCCCTTCACACCTATCATATAAAACTTGAGCTCTTCACCTTAAGTATGCTCATTCTTCTGAGTTCTCTGTAGTGTCTGAGAATAGTTGCTTCTTTCTGGGAAAAGCCTTTCCAATTACCTTGATGCCAGACTTCTGTAATATGGAAAAATGAAAGAGGCTATTTTTACGGAAAGAAGCAATAATCTTGTTGCTGTGTTCAGTAAACTAAATTCAAGTATAAATCTTTTTCCCTGTAAGGGAAGCTCTTGAAGTAGTCCTGAGAGGCCACGTGGAAGTAGTCCTCTCATTGCTGGGCCTGGATCCAAGAAGCCCATGTGCACGTTCCTCCTGAGAAAACAGCCCCAGTTCTCACCTGTGCGCTCTTCTTTGGATATAAGCCTGTTAGGGTGATTATATTGAGGGCTCCATACAAGTATGCCCTCATGTAATGTAGGTTAATACTAAAGCCATTTATTTTTATCAGTAAAGTCTGGCTTTGATTCGAAAAATTCTGTAACTTACTGAAACCCAAGGAGGATTCTGGTTCTGAACCCAGCAGAGATCCTGAAAAAAACTGAGTGCATGTCTTCTGTCATCAGTTGTGATTTTAATTGAATGATGAGTGTAATCTTGGAATTTATCTATTTTTGTAACAAGCTGTAGATAGCAAATGTTTTATAAATGTGGGTAGGAAAAAAAAAACGTCTACTTTTACCTTTGAGTTTAGAATGCTTTGTGTTTAGTTTTAATACAAAGGCTAAAGTAAAATTCACTCCCAGCCCATGCTCTGGGCTCACTGCCTGCTCAAGAGAGTACTGATTTACATGCCACCCCTAAGGGAGTGAGTGAGTAGTGTCAAGCTGTGAGCTCAGTGGTCTTAACCTCTGACGCTTTATTACTTTCCAAGGAGGTAACAGCCATTAAACCTAAATTTAATTTATTTTATTAAAATAACATAATTGAGGAACCATAGTATAGTAACTGTATTTTGTCAGGCGCAATAGAAACAAAATTAAAACCCAAATCATCAAGAAAACCTGCATCCTTGGCTTCCTTGCATATACATGATGTGACTACGGAGACAAGGCTGGCTCTGGGGCCCCGCCCCATAGGGGCAGCTCCTGGAAGACTGCTCAGCACGCTGGAAGACTGCTCCCTGAGAGGGCGGAGACTGGGAGGGCAGGCCAGTCACCTCACCTGGAGATCTCAGGCTAGGTAAAAGGAGGAAGTGTCCAAGAAGTAAAGTTCCATAGTACCAAAGCAGGTTCCTTCAGGCGGCCGGGGTCTCGACAGTCCTGGTCTGTTTGGTGCATTATGTGCAAAACTACCTGTCTGGCGCCCTGCCACTATCTCTTTGAAGAAAAGTCCTTCCTGTGACAAGCACTCCTCATAGGAGCTTAATTCCAAAATCCACATGTCCTCACATCAGGGCTGGATTGCCTGCTACCTTCATATCCCCTCTGAGTGCTTTTTCTTGCCCTAAAATACTCATTTAGCCAACAGCTGGGGGCCCCAGATGATGTATTGCCATCAGCATCCACTTGTGCATCTGGAGAAGGCTTGGCTCACGAGCATGTGGGGTCAGAGGGGAGCATGACAAACCAGCATGGTAAATGGCTTCCTTCTCCCAGGGCCAGAGAGGGTAGAAAGAAGGCAACATGAAGTTAAGGCCCTGTGAATGTCTGGAAGGTCCTTAGCAGCAGCTTCTCTGAAAATAAGTTCTGTCTCCCTAGAAAGGGAGCAGAAAAGTGGTGCCTGCTGACTTCCCTTCCTCCCCTGGTGGCCTGAGTGCAGGTGTGAAGTTCAACTAGAAGACAGGCAGCCTAGGGGATGTGGTCAACGTGCAGGCGTTGATATGCTCGGTGTGGGCCGCCCGGTGCAGGGATGGCTCAGAAGCGCTCCGGTTGATTTTCGGCAGAGAGTGCTGCAGCAGCTCAATGGAAGACAGGATCTGAAACAATGCCATATGGTGGTCTGATTAGCTGAGCTTGGTGAGTCAGCAACAGCTTTAAACTGGGCCCAAAGACCCAAGCTATTCCTTGTCCCACACTTAAAAAATCATGTGGAGAATACTACTGCCTTCCCTATAAAAGAAAACACACATGCAACCCACTTTATTTCCATCATTAAGAACTCCTGCTCTAATACAGTTAAATTGAGCTAAGTCTTACCTGGGGGAAAAGAGGCCTTTCTTCCTTAACTTTCTTCACACAGTCGGCTACAAGCCTCTTCATTGCTTTGGGACAGTTCTTGTACAGTTTACTAAGATCTGGGGAGGCATACCCTCGGCCCACCATGAAGATGATCTGAGAAAAGAGTAGAAGGAATTGGGAGATGAGCACTAGTAAAAGCAACAACCTCTTCTAATGCTCTTCGAGAACTGGCAGGAGGCTCAGGGATTCCCTCATTGAGTTATTCCCCCCGCCAAAGCAGCCAGCACATGCTCACCTGATCCCGGTTATTGATGTGTGAGTAAGGAAGCTCCCCTGTCATCAGCTCATACAATACAATGCCATAGGAGTAGACATCAGACTGGAAGCTGAATGGGTTATTGTCCTGCATCCGGATCACCTCTGGGGCCTATAGGGATGGTATCATCATCATTTGGGCTGCACAGCCATCCAGGGGCCACTGTCCCTACCATTAGTAAGAGTCCAGTCCTCAACCCATATATAGTTAGTTGTCCCCAAAGGGCTCCGACTCAAGGGATTCTGCATTTTCTATTATCTCATTTGCTAACTCCTCTCTCGGTCCAGCCTACTCTAGGAAATCCAATCTGCCCTGGGCTGTCTGATCCAGGGAAGTGGGGACAATAACCCCACTGCCTCTGCACTTTTGGGAAATGACAGAAATTCTCTTAAGTTTGCAGAGACTCTCAGGGCACTCCTTCCACCCTGCATCGGAAGACAGCTAGTGAAAGCCTGGGTTCCTCACCATCCACAGGACAGAGCCGGTAGGCTGTTCAACCTGCTGAGAACCACTCCAGCGTGACTTTACTGTTGCCAAACCAAAATCTCCAATTTTTACCGTCAGGCCTTCATGGAGAAATATATCTCAATGCTTGTTAAGGACTCTGGTTTCAAAAGAGTAATCAAGTTAATTTTGAAAAACTTCTTAAAGCTCTTTAGAGCACAGCAATCTTTCCACCGCCCAGCTGCCCCTGCACTGGATTTGCTAAGGTTTTTGAAGTTTTGAAAAAGTGCTTCTGGCATTCTCCCTCTTCCAGGAAGTGCACAGGATTGTTCTGTGTGCCAGATAATTTGGCTCTGGCCAAAAACAAGCCAAAGCTGCTCTCCCCAGCTGCTTCTCCCCATGTATGTATCTGTGGACACCAAGTTCCCAGCCTCATGATGTAACCACATAATGAAGATGCCTTCAACCCAAGACTCTATAAAAAGCACAAGCTACTGCCAAGGGTTCATTCCTTTCATCTGCCTGCATTCCACCCTGAGGACTAACTGAGACCTGAGTGGGAACGAAAGGGCAAATCCCTTACTAGTGCTGAACGTTCTCACAGGAAATCTCACATGAACAGGTACCACTTAGTGACTAAGATCAGAAGTAGTCACTTCATTTCTGGGGGAAGTCAGTCAGGTTAAGGGAGACTTGTTATCTGCTGATGCCCAGTAATTAACATCTCAAAATCTATTGCATCTGTTTTTCATGGCTCCCAAAACACCCACCATTGAGAGGGTCCCGTGTCTCAGGCATGTACCCAAAATGGGCCATATGCCATAATCCAACTTAACTCTAAGGTCTCTTGCTAGCCAAGAAGCAAAATTGGCTGTAATGTCACACTTCTTCCAAAGACAGGCTGAAAGAAGGTGGCAAATTTTAAAAAATCTTAAATGTCCTGCTTTATAGCATAAAGAATAACTTTATTTGTCCCCTCTTCTATAAAAACACTTAAATCTTAGAAAGGGGATCAGACAGTTTCCAACAGTGCCTTTAAGGAAACCACTAACTAGAAAAGACAATTTTAAGTAATTTTAGAATACTTTAAACATTTGGCTTACAGCTACTTTCTGATCAGATATACACACATACAGAAAACACAAAATACAAAAGAGTAATATCCCAAGCTAAAGGTGGAATATAATAAAATTAACTATACCTATTTCAAACTTAACCCAAATATGTATCTCAACTCGTGGAAATCTTTCCAAATCATCTTTGGTAGGAAAAGTTTGTTTAAACTGGGGGGTGGGGGGGAGGCGAGGAGGCTCCTCCCAGACATCACAGTTTCAGTGGAAGCAGAAGGTGCTGAATACATCAATCCTAAACTGTACCTTACAATATTACTTTGTTTTTCAAAAAACTACATTTTTTATTTTCTTTCTTTCCTATCTTTTGCCTCTTTTCCTAAAGATTTCCTTTAGCATCAAGAACCACTAGTGAGAAGAGTCTCTCTTCTGTTTTCCTAAGTTTAGATATGAGCAATCAAATGAACTCAACAACCAAAGGATACTGTTGGATTTCATGTCTCTGTGGATGATGTTCTTGGCATGTAAATAGCTGTGAAGGGAAAATAAATCTATTAGAACAGATTGAAAGATCGTAAGCAAGCAGTTTCTAACTATATGTAAAATACTAGAAAATACATAATTTTGCAACAACCAAAAGTATGTGTGGTTACAAATGTACATATGTATGCATGTATGTAGTATATGTATGTGTATACCAAACCCACTGCCATCGAGTCAATTCCAACTCATAGTGACCCCCATTGGTTCTCCAAGGCTGTAAATCTTTATGGAAGAAGACTGCCTCATCTTTCTTCCACAGAGCAGCTGGTGGGTTTGAACCACAACCTTTTAGTTAGCAGCCAAATGCCTTACCCACTCACTACCACCAGAGCTCCTTCTATATGTTGCTCAACACATCCAGAACATAAGACAAAGAAGGAAACCAAAGACTCAGAGAAGAAATTAGTCTGTAGGACTAACAGTCTACGTGAATCACAGTTTCATGTACCCTGGGAACAGAACTAGATGATGCCCAGCTACCACTCTCAACAGTTCTGGACCCACAATAGATGGATCCTGATAGAAGGGGAGAAACGTGCAACAGAACTCAAATTCTTAACAAAGTCCAGACTTACTGAACCAGTTAAGACTAGAGGAGTCCTAAGACTGTCACTCTGAGATACTCCATAAACTTTGAACCAAAACTATCCCAAGGTCGCATGTGAGAAAAACAACAGATTAGCTAATAAAATAAGGATTACCAGTGAGTACTGTTCACCTTTAGAAAATCATCTATCTGAGTCCAAATGGTCAACAGTTACTCTAAAGCAAAGGTGGAAGGGTAAAGGGACAGGGAACTGGATTACTGGAAGCAAAACATCCAACAGGGAATAAATGAGACAATAAAAACATTTAAAAAATTATAACCAATGTATCTGAATAAGCTGTGTAGTAACTGTTAAATGATAACCTAATTTTCTATGTAAACTTACACTGAAAACAAAATTTTTTTTAAAGGGGCTATAAAGTCAGCTGAAGGCCTTGCTCTCAGTGAAGCGTTACCTACAGAGCTTGTGGCTTTGCTTAGGTAGCCTATCTATGCCGTTCATCACCTGAAGGTGAGGCATAGCACACACATGGTGATTCCTCCCCCACATCAAGGTTTACTTAAAAGTAATTCTGACAACCCAAATATCCATTAACTGATGAAGATATCAACAAAAGGTACACCATATAATGGGGTATTACTCAGCTATAGAAAAGAATGAGTACTGATTCATGCTAAACCAAACCCACTGCCATCAAGCCGATCCTGACTCATACTGACCCCTATTGGGTTTCTGAGGCAGTAAATCTTTACGAAAGTAGATTGCCCCATCTTCCTTACACAGAGCAGCTGGTGGGTTCGAACTGCCAACTTTCTGGTTAGCAGTCAAATGCCTTAGACACTGTGCCACCAGAGCTCCTTACTGATTCATGCTACAACATGCTAAATCAAAGAAGCTAGGCCACAAAAGTCCATGTATCATATTATTCCGTTATAAGAAATGTCTGAAATACGCAAATCCATACAGCTAGAAAGCACATGAGTGCTTGCCAGGAGCTGGGGAAATGGGGAGTGCCTGCTAATGCATTTCTTTTTGGAGTGATGAAAATGCTCTGGAAATAGATTGTGACAGCTGCACAGTCTTGTGAATATACTGAAAACCACTTAGTTATATACTTTAAAAGGATAAAATTTTACAGTATCTGAGTTAAATCTCAAAAATTTTAAAAGTAGTTTTGACTAGTTCTTAAAATATGCAGAATGCAAATGCCACCTGATTATTAAAGATAGGAAATTTTATGTACACAAGCACAGCTTTAGCTTTACTCCCAGACATCTGGAAATAAGGGGAGCTCCTACTTCTCTAACATAAAGGGAACTTCAAAGGAAAAGTTTGAAAAACACTGCCCACCCCCATTTCACTGAACAATATGTCAGCAGAGACCCAGCAGAGTAGTAATTCATGGAGGAGCCAAGGATGACCTTTAAGCCTTTGCTAAAAGGAAAATAAATTATCCAAAAAGTGATCAAACTTTCCTGTGGAACTAACACATATGCTGAGGGGCCATGCTTGGCACCTGATGCCTGCAGAGGGCACTGCTGTGGCTGTTCAAGCTGAAATTACCTACACCCACTCTCTCCATGAGTTTCTGGATGAATTTTCAGGTAGCAGCTGGAACCTGAAATAGAGCCCAAAAGGGCAACCTCAGCTTGGGTGAGGAACCAGAGTAGCTCATTCTTGGTAACTGCTCCCTTCCAACCCACCCAAGAGGCTCATCTTTAGCTGTTAAAACGTATCACAATAAATGAATCAATAAGACTAGAAGTTGAAAAGATTAATAAAATCAACAAACCACTGGTAAATTTAACAAAAAAGGAGGAGTAGATGCAAATATCACAAAAAATGAAATGGGCAACATCACAACAGAACCAACTAAAAAAGACTATCAGGATACTATGAAGAACAGTATGCCAACAAATTTGAAAACCTAGAAGAAATGGGTGGATTTCTAAAAACACACTACTTACCTAAACTAACACAGACTGACGTAGAAAATTTGAACAGACTCATTCTCAACAAAAGAAATTAAGTCATAAAAAAAAACTAAAACCTACCAACAAAAAAACACGGAGACAGCTTCACTAGAGAATTCTACCAAACATTCAGAGAAGAGCTGATACCAGTCCTACTCAAACTATTCCAAAACACAGAGAGGATGGAATCCCCCAAAATACGTTTTCTGAAGCAAACATAACCTTGATACTAAACCCAGGCAAAGACAGCACTAAAAAGGAAAACCACAGACCAATACCCCTTGTATATATAGATGCAAAAATCTTCAACAGAATCCTAGCCAATAGACTCCAACAACGTATCAAAAAAAAATTATCATGACCCAGTGGGATTCATACCAGGTATGCAAAGATGGTTTAACATTAGAAAAACAATTAACATAGTCCATCACATAAGGAAAATAAAGGAAAAGAACCGCATGATCATATCAATCAATGCAGAAAATGACGTTTGATAAAATCCAACAACCATTCCTGATAAAAACACTAAGAGGGAAAATTTCTCAATATAATAAAGGATGTATACACAAAACCAATAGCCAACATTATTCTCAATGGAGACAGATTAAAACCGCTCCCCTTGTGAAAGGAAACCAGACAAGGATGCCCTCTACCACTACTTCTATTCAACACTGTATTGGAAGTCCTACCCAGTGCAATAAGGCAAGAAAAGAAAATAAAAGGCATCCAAATTGGTAAGAAAGAAGTAAAACTATGCCTATTTGCTGATGATATGATCCTATACATAGAAAAACAAAGAAACTCAGCAAGAAAATTACTGGAACTAATTGAAAGATTCAGCACAGTGGCAGGATGTAAGATCAACATACAAAAATATGTTGGATTCCTCTATACCAACAAAGAGATATCTGAAAAGGAAATAAGAAAATCAATACCATTTACAATACTAACAAAAAGGTAAAATACTTGGGAATAAATCTTACCAGGGACGCAAAAGACACATACAAAGAAAACTACAAAACACCACTTCATGAAACTTATTATTATAAGTGGAAGAACATACTATGCTCATGGACAGAAAGGCTGAACATTGTAAAAATGTCAATACTACCCAAAGTAATTGATTTATTCAATGCAATCCCAATCCAGATTCCATCAGCATTCTTTAAGGACATGGAAAAAACAATCACTAATTTTACCTCTGGTAGCATAGTGCCTAAGGGACTTGACTGCTAACCAGAAGGCTGGCAGTTCAAACCCACTAGCCACTCCTCAGAAGGAAGGTTGGGCAATCTACTTCTGTAGTGAAACTGCCTTGGCAACCCAAGGAGGGGTCGCTATGAGTGGGGGCTGACTCGACGGCACACAACAACAACAACAAATTTTATCTGGAAAGGAAAGAGACCTCTGATAAAGCACTACTGAAGAAGGAAAAAGTAGGAGATCCCACCCTCCCTGATCTCAAAACCTACTATACACCCACGGTAGTCAAAACAGCCGGGTACTGGTACAATGACAGATACAAAGACCAGTGGAACAGAATTGAGAACCTAGAAATAAATCGAGCTACCTTTGGTCAGCTGATCTTTGACAAAGGGCCAAAATCCATTCAATGGGGAAGAGACAGTCTCTTCAACAAATGGTGCCAGCAAAACTGGCAGAAAAATGAAACAAGATCCATACACCCCATATACACCATACACTAAAACTAACTCCAGATGGATCAAAGACTTAAATGTAAAATCTCCAAGTATAAAATTCATCAAAGAAAAATAGGGGCAAACTTAAGAGTTCTAATATATTGCATAAATAGACCGTCAAAAATAAGAAAAATGCACAAACAGTAGAAGATAAACTAGATGACTAGGATCTTCTAAAAATTAAATTCTTATGTGTATCAAAAGACTTCTCCAAAAGAGTGTGTGTGTAAGGCGGGGAACCCTACAGATTGGGAAAAAATATCAATGACATATCTAACAAGGGACTTATCTCTAAAATTTATAGAAGACTCTAATATCTCAACATCAAAAAGTCAATCCAATTAAAAAATGGGCAGAAGATATGAACAGACACTTCACCAAAGAAGATATTCAGGTGGCCAACAAACACATGAGAAAATGCTCATGATCATTAGCCATTAAAGCCATACAAATCAAAACAACACTGAGGTATCATCTCATCCCAGCAATAACAGTAAAGTTCAACGAGACAGAAAAAAAACAAATACTGTGCCAAGAATGTGAAGAGAATGGGACTCTCATACACTGCTGTGAGGCTGTAAAATGATACAACCACTGGGGAAAACAGCAGGGTGCTTCCTTTAAAAGTTGGAAATAAAAATACCATTTTATCCAGCAATCTCATTACTAAGTATATATCCTAAAGAGGTGAGAGCCAGGATACGAATATATATATACCAAACCATGTTCACTGCAGTACTATTCACAATAGCAAAGAGATGGAAATAACTTAAGTTCCCATCAATGGAGGCATGGATAACCAAACTATGGTACATACACACAATGAAATACTACACAACACTAAAGAATAATATAGAATCTGCAAAACACTGCATAACATGGATGAACTTGGAGCACATTATGCTGAGTGAAATAAGTAATCACAGAAGGACAAATATTGTATTAGGCCATTATTGTAAACATTCAAGGAAAAGGTTTACATATGGAAGGCAACTTTCTTTGAGGGTTACCAGGGATGGGAGGGGACGGGAGAGAAAATCACTAGATAGGTAAGAGACAACTACTGATCTGGGTGAAGGGAATGGCAATATTCCAAGCGACTAACACAGTAACACTAAGGAAAGGGAAGACACAGAGAGGCGCATAAGAGGTATAGACAACAAAGGTAAACACTTTAACATACATAATACTGCATATCAGTAATACATGCATAAAGGTAAACACTAACATACATAATACTGCATAACAAACATTAATCCACAGGTGGATACACAGGTAGACAGGCTAAATGATCAGGTATGGCTGGGCAAAAGGGAATATACCCATGACCATATATTAGTCTGGCAGACAATATTTCTATTTACAGATTTGTATAGGCTGTAAGAAATGCCCATATATACAACAGAGTTAACAGAAGGCAAAGTTACGATAACTTCTCAGCCACAGCCTAATACCTCGAGGGTGTGAATCGCTGGACCCACAAGCTTGGTACCATGCTTGTTGGGGACATTATGCTCAATTGGCATAACATACTACACAAAAACTTTGTTTTAAATCCTACTTTGGTGAGTAGCAACTGGGGTCTTAAAAGCTTGCAAGTGGCCATCTAGATGCAACAACTGGTCTCCCCTCATTCAGAGCAAAGGAAAACAAAGTAAATCAAAGACTGGAAACAATTAATCCAAGGGACTAGTGGACCATGTGGACCTGAGCCTATATGACTATGAGACCAGAAGAACTAGATGGGGCCCAGCTACCACTGTCAACCACTCAGAAAGGGATCAGTGTGGAGTTCCTGGATACAGTAGGAGAATAATGTGGAACAAAACTCAAAATCATAAAAAAAGCCCAGGGTTACTGGTTTGATAGAGACTGTTGAAGCCCCCAAGACCATAGCCTCTAGTCATTCTTCAGGCCTGGAATTGAACTCACTCCCATGGCCTCCAGCTAAACAACAGACAGGCCTACAAAGTGAACAATTATACCAAGAAGGTACACTCCTTAGAACAATCAACCATGGGAGATCAGAAGAGCAGCATCTGTACAGAGAGATCATTCGGAGAATGCATGGGTAAGATGGACACAGGGAGGAGATAACCACAGGGAGGAAGTGCAAAGAGAGCTGTTACAATATGGGGATTGCAATCAATGTCAAACAAAACGTGTATGAAGTACTGCATGGGAAATGAATTTGTTCTGTAAACCTTCACCCAAATCACAATAAAAATTTTTAAAAAAACAAACCTATAGAAATCACTAAACAGATTAGATGGCTTTTCATAATCCTGGTTCTGATTTAGGGACAAGTCAATGCTTAGGCCTAAGAGACAGTCATCAGGCCATCTACTCACTCCATTCCTTGAGCCGTCTGCCGGGCAATGTCAATCAACTGGAACATCTGAAACTTGGTCTCCTGGACATGCAGGTGTTTGTAGAGACTGCTGCCTTCACACCACTGTGTCACAATCGCCAGGTTGTCCTTTGTCATGTACCCCATGAAGAGCAAGATATTCACGTGCCGTGTTTTGCTAGAGGAGGAATGGAGAGAAAAGGCTCTGAACCCTCAGATGCCTCAGAACAAGGAGATGTACTCTGCTTTCCTATGACTTCAGATTCCTTGTGCTCTGGACATCCCCATGCTCACGACCTGAGGTAACTGGCAAAGCGAACCTGAGATACCCGGTAATTCAGCAGGTATCCAGAGCAGACAGAGGCTCATCCATTACTAGCGCACTTAGTGCCGGCTTTGGTCACAGCGGATGGCTCCCTATCAGTGTACAGTCGTGACTCTTCCCACAGGGCCCACAGGGCCTCACCTTGCAATCCATCACTATTCACCTCATTCCCAGAAGTCTCTCAACACTGACTCAATGATCTGAGACCTGAAGGTAACTGTAGTCTAGAATAAGGCAATTTGGCTATAAAAAGGGTTCTTGGAAATAAATATGAAATAGAACCTATTTCTCCCTACCTCAGATGTAAACTACTAAGTGTGCTCATAGATCTAAAACTAGTGGAAGATGGTGTTCTTGTGAAAAAAGGCCCTGCTAAAGGTTCGACAACCACATAAACAAATGGAAACACTCCTAAGAGCTTCCAACAACAGGAACTCCATAATGAACACTAACCAGACACAGAGCCCTCAAAGACAGACTCTGGCTGTAATAGCTGCTTGTTGTTCTACCCCTACCCCCACCCCACCACTCTAGGTGCTGGACACACCAGCTTCCTACTCACCGCAGGACAGCCACCTCATTCCTAAAGGCCTGGAACTGCTCAGGTGTTGGATCAACGACCTTGAGGATCTTTACTGCAACATCTCCTGCAAATTAGTTTGTAGTTAGAGCAGTCAGTTAGATGACCTTACTTTGTTATTTTTCAAATACCCTAGTTTTGGGGAAGATACAGTGAATCACTTGTTCAAAAAAATAATCATATATCTACACAGATAGAACAAATCTACAAATCTGAAATCATTCAACAAAACTAGCTGCAAAAAGTTAAATAGGTTATACTACTGTCCTTAAAATACCACACCATAGGCTGTACTTAATAGACTTGGTTTAAAACTATGCATTTAACTCTCACATCCCCAGAGGTGATGTCATGTGTGATAGGGTCAATAAATAGCCTTGGCCTGTGAGGATGAGATCAGTGAAGGGATGGGAATGGCCCAGCAGGGAGTGACTCACTGGGCCACAGGCTGGTATAAGGAAACAGGCCAGTGAGCAAGTAGCATCCACAGTTCAGTGAGACCTAAGATGGGCCCTAATACAAACTCAGATACATATATTAAAATCAGAGCTTTAAAAAGATTCATTCTGGTTTGACCCCCTGCTGAGAATTTTAATTTCTATCCTAAATATACTACTGAATCAGAATCTACATTTTAACAAGAACCCCAGGAGATAGATCCAAAATGAACTGGTTCAAGGCCCTGATTAAAACTGAGCTATTTTGCCTTCAATCCCATGGAAAGTAATCCTATAGTTAGTGCTTACTATGTCTGGCACTGTGTGTGCTTTTACAGGCATTACCTACATAAACATTGTTAATCAGCAGAGACTTTTAGTCACTTGCCCAAGGTCACAGAACCAAAAAAAAAGGGCTGGAGCCAGGATCAGAACCTCAGTCTGAGCCTAATGCCTGCCTTTTTCACTACAATATCAACACTGTCAATCGCTGTGACTAAAACGAGCCTCTTTATGTAACTTTAGAAAAATCAAGGGATTAATTCTACTTTATATGCATGATGGATTTAGAAACCACTTTCAAGAGTGTTTTTATATCAATGTATTTATAATAGCAATTATAATGAATTACTTGGAGCTTGTTTTTGTTGTGCCAGCAAGTCGGACCCGATTCATAGTGACCCCTCCTTGGGTTTCCAAGGAGGGGTCACTATGGAAATAGATTGACCAACCTTCCTTCCAAGGAGTGGCTGGTGAGTTTGAACCGCCAGCCTTCTGGCTAGCAGTCAAGTACCTTAGGTACTACGCTACCAAAGCTCCTTGGAGCTTATTAGGACCTCAAATTTTCAAAGCATATGAATTTACTAAAACTTGGCCTTACAGTTGGAACTAGGGTGGTGCTGTGGTTAAAGTATTGGGCTGCTAACTGAAAGGTCAGTGGTTCAAATCCACCAGCCACTCAGCAGGAGAAAGATGAGGCAATCTGTTTCTGTGAAGATTTACAGCCTTAGAAACCCTATGGGGCAGTTGTACTCTGTCCTACAGGGTTGCTATGAGTCTGAATTGACTCAACAGCAGTGGTTCTTTTGTGGGTGGGAGATGTGGGGGGCTGGGAAGTTAGGCCTTACAGTGATCAGATTAAGAGTTAGAACTCTGGAAGTGAGTGAATTCAGCCTTCTGTGTAACAAGCAAATGCCCCAGCAGCACACTCATGCAGCCTCTTCTGTTGCAGCAGTCCTCACTTCACTTGTGGGTAGTTCCACCTATAGGGAGATGTTTCTTATGACAGATCCCAAACTATTTCCCTGTGATCTCTGCTTAACAGAGCGACCTCCAAACTGGCTCTCAATTCACCTGCACAAGTTTTGCCAAGAATCAAGGGCTACCTGTGCAGCTGTGTTGACTATGGATAAGAGAGACACAAGCTATATTCAGAGATGCCTCCTATCTAAGAAAATGGATCCAGTAGTCATATGAGAGACACATGTACAACAGCCCTAACCTCCAGTTCTTTACAACTCAGTAGGAGTGCTACGATTCTCTGCATAACTGCTCCTTCTGGTAGAGTTTGGACCAAGATAGGAATGCTCTGGGGGCAGGATGTCACAAGAAGAGAAGTACATTTTCTTATAGAGAGAAAGTAGGAAGGTTTTCTGAAGGAAATGGGATATTCCAGACTGGGTATACTAAGAATGAAGCCATGGTAAGGAGGATAAGACAACCATAAACTATGTTTGGGAAATGCTAGAATGTGATTTGGGGAATCTGCTATAATAGTCTAGGCCAGAAGTAGGCACAGTGATTACAGTGGGAATAGAAAAGAGGGGATGAAACAAGAAGCCCTATGAAGGTGTATGAAGTACTGCATGGGAAATGAATTTGCTCTGTAAACCTTCACCCAAATCACAATAAAAATTAAAAACAAAACAAACCCATAGAAATCACTAAACAGATTAGATGGCTTTTCATAATCCTGGTTCTGATTTAGGGACAAGTCAATGCTTAGGCCTAAGAGACAGTCATCAGGCCATCTACTCACTCCATTCCCTGAGCCATCTGCTGGGCAATGTCAATCAACCTCCTTGGGTTTCCAGGGCGGTATCACTATGGAAGTAGATTGCCCAACTTTTCTTCCGAGGAGTGGTTGGTGAGTTTGAACTGCCAGCCTTCTGGTTAGCAGTCAAATGCCTTAGGCACTATGCTACCAAAGCTCCCATTAACTACATTAGGGCTCTCATTTATTAATACTTGTTGACTGAGCCAAACATTTTAGTCTACCTCCTCATAGTTTCCACAAAAGGACTGTTATCTACATTTTAGAGGGGAAGAAATTGAAGCTAAGAGAAGTTCAGTTTACATGGCTGGTAAGGAGGCAATCTGAGAGTCCAATCCAGGTCTCTCTGACATTGCTGTTGTTAGCTGCTGTCAAGTCGATCCAACACTTAGCGACCCTATGTACAACAGAACAAAATACCACCTGAACAAAACATTTGTGTCACCTTCACAATCATTGCTATGTTTGTGCCTATTGTTGTCACCACTGTGCCAATCCATCTCATTGAGGGTCTTCCACTTTTTCTGCTGACCCTCTACTTTACCAAACTTTTCCCTTCTCCAGAGATTGGTCTTTCCTGATAATATGTCCAAAACATGGAAGACGAAGTCTCACCATCCTCACCTCTTAAGGAACATTCTGGCTATACTTTTTCTAAGACAGATCTGTTTGTGCATCTGGCAATTCACGGTATATTCAATATTCTTTGCTAACATCGTAATTCAAATGCATCCATTCTTCTTCAGTCTTCCTTACTCATTGTCCAGATTTCACATGCACATGCGGTGACTGAAAATAGCATGGCTTGACTGATGCATGCCTTAGTCCTAAAATGACATCTTTGCTTTTTAACACTTTAAAGAGGTCTTTTGCAGCAGATACACACAATGCAGTATGTTGTTTGATTTATTTTATTTTTTCAGTGTTCCCTCCCCTCCCCTCCCTCCTAACCAACAAAGCTTCCTTCCATATATAAACCTTTCCTTGACTCCTTAGAATAATGAACTAATAGAATATTTGTCCTTCTGTGATTGACTTATTTCATTCAGCATAATGTCCTTCAAGTTCATCCACATTATGCAGTGTTTTGCAGATTGTACATTATTCATTAGTGTTGCATAGTATTCCATTGTGTGTATGTACCATAATTTGCTTATGTGCTCTTCTGTTGATGGGCACCTAGGTTGTTTCCATCTTTTGGCTATTGTAAATAGTGCTCCCATGAACATGGGTGTGCATATATCTGTTCTCTTGGCCCTCATTTCTTTAGGATATATACCAAGTAATGGGATTGCTGGATCAAATGATATTTCTAATTCCAACTTTTTAAGGAAGCACCCTACTGTTTTCCACAGTGGTTGTATCATTTTACAGTCCCACCAGTGGCATATGCATGTCCACATCTCTCCACATCCTTGCCAGCATTTGTCATTTTCTGTCTTGTTGAATTTTGCTATTAGTGCTGGGGTGAGATGAATCTCATTGTTGTTTTGATTTGCATTTCTCTAATGGCTAATGATTGTGAACATTTGTTCATGTGTTTGCTGGCCACCTGAATAAACCTCTCTGGTGAAGTGTCTATTCATGTCGTCTTGCCCATTTCTGAATTAGAGTGTTTGTCTTTTTGTTGTTTGGGCAATGGAGTTTTCTATAAATTTTAGTCCCTTGTCAGATATGTTGTTGCCATTTTTTTTCCCCCCAATCTGTAGGTTCTCTTTTTACTCTTTTGGAGAAGTCTTTTGAAGCACTTAAAAATTTTATTTTCAGAAGGTCCCATTCATCTGGTTTATTTTCAGCAGTTTGTGCATTTTGGGTTATGCCTGACCAAATAAAAATTTATGCCATAAATCAGGGCCCCTAAATTTGCCCCTATTTTTTCCTTGAGGCACTTTATAGTTTTAGGTTTCACATTTAAGTCTTTGATCCATCTGGAGTTAGTTTTTGTGTATGTCATGTGGTATGAATCTTGTTTCATTTTTCTGCAAATGGATATCCAGTTTTGTCAAGGCCCTTGTTTTGCAATACTTTCCCTTCCTCACCGCTCTCCTTTGGGCATGCTCTGGATGTCAATGCACTTAGCCTCCAGGGGCACTCATCCTTAACCCAGTTAGTACTGCAGCCTCAGAAGTCATAGGATTAGCTGGCAGTCAATGCCCCCTCACAGGGACTGACTCTGACCTTGCTGTCAGCTTAGCATCCTTAGCATTTTCACACATGCTATTGCTAAGCCACATTCTCTACCTCTAGCTTCAATGGACAGGACTTATCCCTGTTGAAAGTTCATCTTTACTTTGTTCCATTCATCACAGCCAGTTAGTCTTCTCATCTTTCTAAATTCTATTATCCAATGATGTACTACACTTCTCATTTAAGTCATCCACAATACCTGTGTCTTTATCTATGTCAATAAGAAGACTGAATAGGGTCATTCTCTCAGGGACTCACCTGCCATCCATCTCATGTGTAACAGTTACAATACAAATTATATGCAATGTCTTAACTGAAATCCAGAAGCTGTATTCTATACTACAGCATTCTCCTCACTGATCTATCCAGTGACTGTGTTATAAAAGGACA